AGTGTATACACATACAAAGATACGTAATAGTTTCAGTGCGTTTGAAAGGCGCCACGCCCTCTTTTCAAATAGCCCAAATTTTCTCTAAGAGTATGGGATTGATTTCATATATCTCCATACCATGTTCGAGTATTCTACCTTGAACATATCCGGAGATATGCAGTGAAAATTTCCAATAGAACCAATTTTTATTCATGACTATGCGATTGATTTTGTATATTTTGTACATACCAAGTTCCAGTACTCTAACCTGAACACTTCCAGAGAAATGCTGTGTGAAAGCTTCGGTGTGTATTGGAGGTGCTACACCCTTTTTCCAATAGCCCCAATTTTTCTTCATGATCATGTGATTGATTTTATATATTTTGTACATACCAAGTTCCAGTGCTCTACCATGAACACTTTCAGAGCTATGCAGTGTGAAAAATTCGGTTTGTATGGGAGGTGGCACGCCCAGTTTTTCAATAGCCCCAATTCTTCTTCATGACTATGCGATTGATTTTATATGTATATCTTTCACATACCAAGTTCCAGTACTCTACCATGAACACTGCCAGAGATATGCAGTATGAAAAATTCGGTTTGTATAGGAGGTGTCACACCTCCTTTTCCGACAACCACAATTTTTCTCCTTGGGAATGCGATTGCTTTCATATATCTCTATACCATGTTCGAGTACCCTACCATGAACAGTTCCAGAAATATGCACTATGAAAAATTCGGTTTGTATGGGAGGTGCCACGCCACTTTTTCCAATAGCTCCAATTTTTTCTCCATGACTATGTGACTGTTTGCATATATCTCCGTACCAAGTTCCAGTACGCTACCGTGAACGCTTCCAGAGACACGCAGTATAAAAAATGCGGTTTGTAAGGGAGGTACCACGCGCCCTTTTGCAATAACCAAAATTCTTCTCCATGAGTATGCGACTGTTTTCATATACATATCTCCATACCATGTTCGAGTATTCTACCATAAACACTTCCAGAGATATGCAGTATGAAATATTGGGTTTTCATGGAATGTTCCACTCCCCCTTTTCCAATATCCACAATTTTTCTTTATGAGTATGCGACTGTTTTCATATATCTCCATACCAGGGTTGTTGCGAATATTCGCATTCGGATTCGCAACCGCGGAGTTTGCGCATTAATTTCAACATTCGCATTCGCATTCGCAATAGTCAATGCGGAGCTTTTGCGAATGCGAATGTTGTGCAAGTGCACCGATAAAACGTATATATGGCAAACAGAATGACAAATTGTAGCCAATATTTTTGCCTGTGTTCGTGGGAGTATTTGTGTAACAAAACTGGTCAAATGTCATATTTATCAACTTTGATAAAAATGTCTTTAAACATATTATTTCTTAAGCTATATAACCGAGCTATCAATGGGCAGCCATATAAGTTCCAACTTCTACTTAAATCTTAATCTTAACAAGTAAGAAAGTCTATGTTCGGGCGGAGCCGAACATTAAATACCCGGCGCAATTATTAAATATATGTTTTCCACCTTTCCGAAAGCTACCGCTACACGATAAGCCGGGGTGTATCAATTTTAAGTAAATTAGCGTCCTTAAATTTCGAAATATTGCAGTTTCAAGCATTTCTGAAATATACCGTTATATGAAAAGCGGTCGTAATTTTAGTCCGATTTCAATAATTTTCAATGCTTTGCTTTTATGTGGCAAGCACAATAACCAAACAAATTGCTAGAACGGTTAGCGAGATACATATATGTGATCATAAGTGGGCGGTGCCACGCCCATTTTCCAAAATTGTATCATAAGCGTATTTCTTGGTAAAAATTGTTGCAACCATCAATTTTGAATAAAGTAGCTTTAATATTTACTGATTTATCGAGGATTTCGTATATTTCTAAATTACCGTTATATGGGATGTGGGCGTGGTTATTGTCCGATTTTAAAAATTTGGTTTATTGTAGCAGGACCAACAACTGTGCCAAGTTTGGAAGAAATTGGTGCAGCGGTTACCAAGATATACACATGTAACCATAAGTAGGCGTGGCTACGCCCATTTGCCAAAATTTTTTAATATTCTTATTTTTCGTCTAAAACTCATTGTAAATATCAATTTTGAGTGAATTATCTTCAGTAGTTACTAAAATATCGCACTTTTCGTATTTCTGAAAATTACCGTTATATGGGAGGTAGGCGTGGTTATTGTCCGATTCCGCCCATTTTCAATACCATCCGTCCTATGCCCAAAAGAAGTCCACGTACCAAGTTTCGTTAAGATATCTAAATTTTTACTCGAGTTATCGTGTGCACAGACGGACGGACGGACGGACAGACAGTCACCGCTTAATCGATTTCTCTTTTCATTCTGATCATTTATGTATACATTTGTCTATATCTATCTCGATTCGTTTTGCCTGTTACAAACAACCGCTATGTGAACAAAGTTATAATGCCCTTGTGCACAAGTGCGCTCGGGTATAAAAAAACTAATAGACACAAATGAAGAAAGTGTGCACTGTAATTCTTAACCAAATTTTCATGATTTGCTTTTGATGTTACATATATTCGTTTCAATAATTTCAAATGGGACTCTTTGGGGAATTTGTTATTATCAAACATTTTAAGAACAATAATTTTGTTTACTTGTCGGGCAATATTTTTTTCATAGGGGTATACACTGGATCCTTGGCTAAACACTTCTGTGGTAAAACTATCCCTTCTTTGATATTTAAAGTCAAAGAGTAAGCTCCTTCAATAGGGATTTCCAGCAGAAATGATAAACGTCTGGCTATAAAGAGAATCGATGCTCAAATAATTAAAAAACTATAGGTCTGACCTTTAATAAGATACGAATTACGTAACTATCTGAGATTCAAATGCTTATAAAAAAGGGTGTTTTTTTTAAATAACTATATTCTGATCCGATCCGATTCAGCTGGCAGCCACGACTTTGAAAACAAAATTTTGTTCAAAATTTTCAGTCCTGGAAAATCATAATATATTTGTCATAGGTATATTTATTTAGCTCGCTATAAGCAGAAATTTATCAAACTAGTCGCAGAAGAAAGTATTTAAAATTAAGTACAGAAACTAAATCGAAAAACGTTGATGAAGTTACAGATTCCTCAAATTCGAAACAGCCAAAGTAATGAGAATGAAGAATTCTTCTTAAAAGCTTTAGAAAAACCTGACACATCTGGTTTGGCCTCACCATTATGCTAGATTCTAATTGTTTCTTAAAAATACTTGACATCCGCATTCGCATTCGCATCCGCGGGTGTTAGCTGTTAGATATTCGCATCCGCATTCGCATCCGCGGATGTCTAAAATTCCACATTCGCAACATCCCTTATCCATACCATGTTCGATTACTCTACCATAAACACTTCCAGAGGTATGCAATATGAAAAATTCGGTTAGCCACGCCCCCTGCACCTAGCGGTATGAAATATACTTTACAGCCGTTTAGGAGGAGTTCGACCACCGTGACACGAGACTTGTATATATTAGATACATTTTCAAAAAAAATTGATTCTCGCAAAATAAACCATCTCGTCACAAAGAAAAATATTTTAAATAGTTCTTGCAAAACCCCAATTTTTTTAACCACGTTTTTTATAGAGAATTAAACAAGGATTACGATGGTATAATTTTAAATCCCTAATTTACTGGTCTTCACTATGCAAATCAACTTCAAAAAGTTCAACTGTTAATAGCTATGTTAGCTTTAGGACGATCTTGACCACCTTGTAAATAGAAATGTTAAGCCCGTTTCTTAGCATTAAAATGACGTTAAGGTGAAGTATCTACGATCAGCAGAACCCGAGATATAACGATTTGAAGAACTACATGATTAATCAAAATCACGAAAAAGTGCAAACTTTGACAGATCATATCCCCGAAGAAAAAAAAGAAGAAAAAATTCTTCGAACACGTGTTAGCTTATTTCATGTATACAACCCACAAAAAATATTTGAAGCGAATCGGAGACATGACATAATTTTTTTTATGAAATCCGTCCGACTTAAAAAAGAATGGCTCATATCGAGGTGATAAAGTGGCCGGTAATCTAAAGGTTAGATGAGACGAGGGCCCTAAGTATTATATATTTAATTAAACTTTAATAAAAAATTAATAAACATTAAAGAAACGAAAGGAAAATAGTTAAAACTGGTCTAAATGTCGAGTCCCTATTTTTTTTATGGACACACATACATACTTATGTACATTTTTATAACGTATTTCCACGAACTCTGTCTGTTAAAAATTTTAGGCAGCACAAAAAGTATGAACGCAGTATTTTGGAATCCAAAAAAAGTATTAAGGCATTCACACACCTATGCGATTCTGTCGCAACGAATCCGCACCGTTTTTGATGCTGCAGACGTTACTGCTTCGAAAACGCAGTACGCACACATCTGTGCGATTTTATCGCAGCAAAAACTGTCAATTTATAGACAAACAAAAAGTATTTTTCAACAAAAATATAATTCTTAACTTTTCTACATCAAATATGTTTTGTTTTCTTACGTTCAATTTTGTTTTAATATTGTAAAATCCTTCTATTGACCTTTTTCGATCTCAAAACGCGGCAGTCAGCGATTTCGACACGGCCAAAAGAAGAACTGTGAATGTTCAAATAAATCGCTGCAGCAAAATCGTACAAGTGTGTGGTTCCTCATTAAAAACTATGGTCGGCATTGTTGTAATTTTTGTCGGAACAGATTCGCACCGACAGAATCGCCTAAGTGTGTGGATACCTTTATACTGCCTAAAAAAGTATAGATATGAGCAAGGCATATTCAACAAGGTAGAAGTGACAATTCAGTCGAGCTCTCTTATACCTGACTGTAATGTCAAAAAACGTAAACAAAGAAATTAACCCTTTGTTATGCATGTACCATATTTGATAAAATTCAATATCTATGAAATGAAAGTTTTTGTTTTTTTCGTGGAGCATTTGCTTATATGTATATGTTAGTGTACTCGTGGATCGTGCTTGTATATGGCAGACTTACTCAGTTTAGGTCTGTGCATCAACAGCTAACTTCGTCCCCACAGACACCTCAGGAACGGCCGACACTTCAGATGACTCAAACAGTGAGGAATTGTATGGTAGAGGTACTGCACCTGGGAACAAACGCGTCCGCTTGGAAATACTCCACTATGATGGGCAACAAATAAAGTCACTGGCACTAAAATGGTGTTCGCACACACGCGAAGAGCCTCCTAATGGAACACCGCAGCTATTTTCCCACCGTTGTCGCTTCACTTGACAATTAGGAGGTTTAAAATAACGCACAAGTTTGTTGTCCTGGCTCTTGCCACACAGAGCGCACCGCTCGTAATTCCTTTTGATTTTATTTTTGTATGTATGTATTTAAAATCAGTCGCACAGCTCAAAATTGAAAATTGAAATTAAAAAATTAAAATTTTGAATTGCATAGGGTTAAGAGTTGACATTACAGTCGCAGTTCAAATAAGAGAAATGTCGAAATCACTTCTACCTTGTTATGCCTTGGATATGAGCGTTAGACATACTTACATATAATGACTTGTCAAAGCAAAGTCTCAGAGAAAACTGAAAAGATTTTTGAAGTGAAACTTCTTATATTACGTTCAAATTGGCCCCATTTAACTTGTTAAATGAAAAAAGCTTTTTGTAAAAAACAATCGTCCACATTGAACATTTCGAGTTAACTTTGACGGTTGATTTCAAATAAATGGCGTTCAGGGTTAGAACTCCGGCAAGCTTAAATCGGAAAATCGTAGCAGAAAATAATGTTCCATATTAGTATTTTTATAGGTCGCTCGTTTACTGAAGAACGTCATA